AACTGTATATATTAGAAGTCTTTTTCTAGTAGTGTTGCTTTTTGCCTAAAAAAGAAGCTCCAAGATATGTTCTCTCTAACTTCATTTTCTTCATGTGGCTGAAAGGCCCTTTTTTTGTGGAGCAACGATCAAATTGTCAAGTTGATTGCACATAACCGGTGGGTGGTTATGCCCGTCATATTTCCGGTTTTAGAGAAAAACGCTCAAAACCATTGGAACCCAACAGTGCTGAACCTCACTCTGAATGTCAGAAAGATGTTCTCAGAGATGGATGATGTACTGTTCATGTCTTGCCACTCTCAGTTTAGGGAAGAAGAAGCAAGGCTAAGCTTGGTAGCTGAGAAGCAAAAAGAAGCATGGGAGCGACTAGAAAATGCAGCCAGTCACCAGCCTATAGCCGGAAATACGTCTGTTCTGGTTATACCTTTGCCTATTAACCTCCATTTTAGAACTTGTATTCTCTTGCCTGGTCGATATGATGGTGGGTTTGGAAACCAAGCGGAAAAGAAATGTATGGAAATGGTTGTTGTTTGGGTTGTTGGGATTTTTGTTTTTTGGTTGATCCTTTGACAGCCAATTGTTGTAACTAGTTTATTAATCCTGTATTTGCCTTTTGATGCTACTGTGTGGGATGTTTATTATCTTCCTCAGCAATTTTTATGGGGTGAGAGAAGAAGGTAAAAGCAATATTAAAACCACCAAATGAAACCAATATTAAAAGCAAAACAGAAGGTAACCAACCGGGGTGAGAGAAGAGAAGGACCCAGCCATTGCCGACGTAGTCATGGATCTTCATCTTTCCTTGGGTGGTTTTGACATCAAGGTTGGGACAGGTATCTCCAATTGTAAGGCCTGGCATTTTCAACTCACTCTGCAACTTCAGCTTTCCTTCGAAGTGATCTGATGGTGGAGAGATTACGAGGATTTAAAAGAAGTGAAGAGTCTGCGCATGCAGAGAACGTGGCATGCTTAGTGTTGGACGTGACGAGCAGGAATGGGTCGAGCAGGTAAGCTGGACATCGTGCGAGTTTCAGAGGCTAAATATCAGCTTGAAGAAAAAATGCCGCTGTTGATAAACTAACGAGTCAAATTGAAGCTTTTTAATTGGAGAAGGGACGCCCGTCCAAAAATAAAGGACAACAGTCCATCCCTTATGGACGGTCGTCCTTACACAATGGACGGGCGTCCATTCCAGATTTTTTTAAAATTTTTATATGTTTTATTTCATTTATCAATGGACGGGCGTCCATTCCAGATTTTTTTAAAATTTTTATATGTTTTATTTCATTTATCAATGGACGGGCGTCCTTTAAATGAGGACGCTCGTCCGTAGTAAAGGGACTCCCGTCCATATAATATGGACGGGAGTCCATGTTAGTGAACGGCTGTCCATATGTTATGGACGGCTGTTCATTAGAAAAAATTTAATAACGTAAAATGCGTTGATTGGTCTGAGTCAGTATACACGTAAGCCGGTACAAAATTTTGGTGTAAAAACGCCGGTGTTTGTAGCATTGTTGAAGTAAAAAAATGAAAAAGAACAGAAAAAGTTTAGAAGATTCGTTACCAAAATGAATATGAAAACAAAACCAACCTGAGAAGGATGAGATGTGAAGCAAAGATGAGGAACAAATCTGTGAAGCTTTTGGTCGGGATGGGCAACCGGTCCGACCGGTCAGTTGGATCGGTGACGTCAACAAAAACAAAAAAACAAAAAAAAACAAAAAAACAAAAAAAAAATCCAGGTTTTTCATGATTTCATCTAACTAAAATTTAAAAACCATCAATCCAACCCTGCAATAATAATAAAACCATCAAAGTTATGTTTACAAATTCAATCCTCAAGTCTAAACTCTAAAGTTTCAAAGTTCAAACATCATTAAAGGTATTACACAGTAATATCAAATATAAATCCACCAACGGCTGAAATCTGAACTGAAGTGACTAATCCGGCAGACCAGCAATGGCAAGCAAGAAGCAGACTTTTAGATAGCGACGATGATGATTGAAGAGGTTGAAACATTGAAGACTTGAAGTTGAAGAATAAAGACTTGCAGTAGACTAGCCACGGCAAGGAAGAAGCACTAAAGTAGAGTAGCAGACTGAAGACCTGAAGAGTGAAGACTTGAAGGCTAAAGACTTGAAGGCTGAACTGCTAAAACTGAAGCTTGAAGGAGATATGAGATCGCGAATGGAGGACATGAGGAGGAGGACTGGACTGGAGAGAGTGCAGATCGCGAATGGCAAACAGGCAAAATAGTAAACCGAAAAGAAAAAGGAGAAAAAAAAGTGGCAGACACAGCTCTGTAGCACACAGCTCAACGCAAAAGCAAATTGAAAATTTTCAATTTTTCACATTAAAAAATTTGGGGGCACTTTGACTTTGTGGTTTTACTTTTTACTTTTTTATTTTATTTCATATGATTAAACCGGATTGGGTGTGGACTGGATTTCCTTGTCATATCGGTTAGACTGCCGGTTTGCTACAGTGAAGCAGTCCAACCGCGGCTTGAAACGGTTTGAAGCAAAATTCTGATTTTTTACTCTTTTTAAACCGGAAATGTGAGTGAAACCCAGTCGGACCAGTTCGACTGCCCGGTCCGGTCCGGGTTTCAGAACATTGATTAAGACTTACAAATGTTAGAGACAAAATTCTTGCTCAAGAGGTTCGCAGGAAAGATTCAGGTGAGATAACATCGAATGTTTTGAATGTTGAAACAAGGCAGGGGCTACAATAGAAAATCAAACCGAGGCAGAGGAAGATCAAAATCAAGGAACGGAAGAAGCAAGTCCAGGTTTAGGAAAAAGGCTGAGTGTTGGAATTGTGGTAACAAAGGCTACATACAGAGGAATTACAAAGCACCAAAGAAAGAGGAGAACAACGATGATGACCCCGCCAATGCCGTAACTGAGGAGGTACAAGATGCTTTACTTTTATCTGTTGATAATTCTATTGACTCTTGGATTTTAGATTAAGGAGCTTCATTTCATACCACTGCACACCATGAAATTCTAGAAAATTATATGGCTAGAAATCATGGAAATGTATACCTAGCAGATGGAGAACCTTTGGACATTGTAGGTATGGGTGATGTTAGGTTGACAATGGCAAACATATATGTGTGGAAAATCTAGAAAGTAAGGCATGTACCAAAATTGATGTGCAATCTAATATCAGTTGGATAACTTGACAATGAAGGGCATAGTGTGTCTTTTTTGGATGGTGCATGGAAAGTTACTGAAGGAGCCATGGTGGTTGTTCGTGGAAATAAAACTAGAACTCTTTACATGACTTCTAATTACAGTGATCCAGTTGTAGTCGCAGATGCTAGTGTTACCTCGAGTTTATGACATTGTAGACTTGGGGCATATCAGCGTGAAAGGAATGAAGGAGCTTCAATCAAAGGGAAAACTACTAGAGTTAAAGTTGATTGATCACAGTTTGACTGAAGGTTGCATCCTTGGCAAACAAAGAAGAGTAAGTTTTTCCAAAGTAACAAGGGAACCAAAGACAAAGAAGTTGGAGTTGGTTCATACAGAGGTGTGGGGACCCTAATAGAGATCGAGGTGCTGACCAAGTTGATGTTCCCAAATATTCTCAAAATCCTTTGCAAGTAATTGGCGGTCCAATGACTAGGGCAAAGACAAAGAGGATGAAAGAGGCTTTGCAAGGCTTGATCATGGAAGTGGAATACAAAGAGGATGTACTAGAAGACTGTAAATTTGAAGGTTTCAAAACTTCACCAAGGATGGTCTATTATCTTTTTATGCAAGGGGTAGATTCGGAAGATCAAGTTGGAAGCAAGAATTAATTTAGGAATTAATTTTCGTTTATTTAATCTTGGGTTTTTTTTAATGTTTTAATTATCATTAGATTCTTTAGTATTTTATTTATTTAAGGTTTAATTAGGCCCAATTCACTTGAACTTAGGCCCAACCCGTTTTTCAATTAGCTAGGGTTTTCTTTTAGGGTTTGTTGCTTATAAAAAGGAGCAGCCATGTTATTTTTTGGGGGACAGATTATTATCAATTGAAGTTTATTTCAGAAAGCTATTTGCTTTGCCTTTTTGTGTTCTTAATTGAATGCTTGAATCTCGACTTATCAAAGGGAGTGATCAACCTTTGTGGCGCCTCAAGATTAGGGTTTTAAGGACTTAGTTTCCTTAGAGTTCTAATTCGATCATCTTCAACACGTTCCTAGCAAAACAATTTGTTCCTATTCTATCATTTAATATCAGAGTTTTGGTTGCTGGAAACAGGTTATTTATCTCCAACACTCTTTGTTTGCGTTCTTGATTCAAAAAAAATATTGAATTCGTCTTTTCATAGTTCTTCTGCGTAAAAAAGAAAAGGCAGCCAAAAAAAAAAAAAAGAACAAAGTGGCAATTTCGAGTTGTTAAGTTTCCCATTCTTGTTCTCTTTGCTAAGTATCCTATTTTTGTTCAATTAAGTTTCCAATTCTTGTTTTTCTTGCTTGAGTTTCTTATTCTTGATGAATTAGTTTCCTTTATTCTGTTCTAGTTTCCTTTTTATTTTGTTCTAGTTTCCCTTTATTTTTGTTCTAGTGATTGTTTCAAGCATATACAAGGTTGTTTTGTGTCTTTTGCCTTCTTAATCATTTAGCGTCAATTTCAGTGATTTCTTTCACATGTCTTTTGCTTTCTTTTAGAGTTTTCTTATTTTTCTTGGTTCTCTAGAATCATCTTGGGTCTTTCTTTCTGTTCACTGTTTGCCTCAACTAAGTTTTTAAAGTTCTGATTTTTGAGATTGTCACCATCTAACCGGTTGTTTCTTGAGATTTGTTGAATTCTTTGATTCTGTTAAGAATATAAAGGGGGCTGGCTTGGCTTTGAGTGGTAAAAGGCAAGAGAGATCATCATCAAGAAAAAGCCAGCGTAGTGTGAAACACGAGTGATAACAATCTGATTTGAGCGCAAACACGTGAGGGAGTGTGTGAGGAACAACACCTTTTATTTTATTTAATTTTACTGGTTGAAACCATGAGTAAGGAGGGAGGAGAACCACAAGAGGTTGACATGAAATTCTTCATCAAGGCTGTTAATGACCAATTTAAATTGCTGAATGCGAGATTGAATGATTTGGAGTCCTCTTCCAGTTCTAAATCACATAGAAGACGTGAGTTCGACTAAGAAGACGAAGCTGATTCTGAAGTGAAGAGAACAATTTATGAATGAACCAAGAAGGTTGACTCCAAAAGAGATAACAATATAGGCAGTATAAAGATGGAAATTCTGACTTTTCAAGGAAAGAATGATCGTGAGCTATAGTTTTGGCAATTCCGAATTTTCAAGGAAAGAATGACCGTGAGCTATACTTGGAGTGGGAAAGAAAGGTTGAGCACCTATTTGATTGTCATTATTACTCCGAGGAGAAGAAGGTAAAGCTAGCAGCCGTGGAGTTTACAGATTATGCAGGTATATGGTGGGATCAATTGGTGATCAATAGGTGTAGAAATGGTGAGAGGCCTATTCAGTCATGGAAAGAGATGAAGTTGGTGATGTGCAAGAGATTTATACGTAACCATTACTATGGAGATTTGTATAGGAAGTTGTAAGGGCTGGTTTAAGGTTCCATGAGTGTAGAGGATTATTATAAGGAGATGGAAATCGCCATGATTAGAGCAAACATAGAGGAAGTCAAAGAAGCAACAATGGCTAGATTCATTGCCGAATTGAACAATGAGATAGCTGACGTGGTTGAGTTGCAACATTACGTAGAGATAGAGGAACTACTGCACAAAGCTGTTAAAGTGGAGAAGAAAATCAAGTCCAAGAGGTTCAAATCTGGTTCGTCCTCTAGCTCTCCATGGAGATTAAATTGGAAGGACAACAAAGCTGCCTTCAGAACAAAAGAAGAAGCAAAGTCAAAGAATTCGGTTACTGTTCCTAAAGGTAAACCCGAAAATAAAACTCTTAATAAGTCACGTGATATTAAGTGTTTCAAGTGTCAAGGATTTGGACATATTGCTTCCGAATGCCCAAACAAAAAGGTTATGGTTGTACGGGCAAATAGAGAAGTTGAAAGTGCTTGCTCAAGTGACGATGAGATGCCACCATTGGAGGATTGTTCTGATGTTGAAGTGGAAGAACCTATGCATGGTGATTTACTTGTTACAAGGAAAGCCCTGAGTATATAGCTTAAGGATGAGGGAGATGAGGAGCAACGTGAGCATATTTTTCACACAAGATGCCATGTGAAGGATAAGGTATGTATGTTGATTATTGATAGTGGGAGTTGTACTAATGTTGCTAGTACTTTGTTGGTAGAAAAGTTGAATTTGAAGTGGAAGAAGCATCCTAAATCGTACAAGCTACAATGGCTGAATGACTGTGGAGAAGTGAAGGTAAACAAGCAAGTTCGGGTTCCTTTTTCAATTGGCAAGTATAAGGATGAGGTTATTTGTGATGTGGCAGCGATGTATGCTGGTCATATATTGCTTGGACGACCATGGCAGTTTGATAGGAGGGTGTCGCATGATAGGTACAAAAATCGTTATTCTTTTGTAATGAACAACCGAAAAGTTGTATTAGCCCCTCTTAAACCTTTGCAAGCTTATAAGGACCAGATTAGGATAGCAAGGGAGTGCAAAATGAGAGAGAAACAATAGTGTGAGCAAAAGGAAAATAGAAAGAGAGCAAGTGAGATAAAGAAGAAAAATGGAGAGAAAAGTGAGAAAAAAGGAGAGAAAAGTGAGCAACATGGAGAGAAAAATAAAAGAATGAGTGTACTTTTTGAAAAACATGAGGTTAAGAGTGTAATGATGGCAAGGCAACAAGTACTTGTACTTATGTACAAGGATGTTTATTTTTCTACTAACGACCTTAAATCATCTTTGCCTAGTGTTGTCATGTCTTTATTGCAAGAATTTGAGGACCTATTTCTTGAGGAGATTCCCCATGGATTACCTCCTCTAAGAGGAATTGAGCATCAAATAGACTTCATACCTGGTTCCGCCATACCAAATCGACCTACATATAGAGCTAATCCCAAGGAAACGAAGGAGATACAAAGGCAAGTGGATGACCTGTTGCAAAAGGGATTTGTACGGGAGAGGCTCAACCCATGTTTGGTTCCTATCCTTTTAGTCCCAAAGAAAGATGGAACATGGCGCATGTGTGTGGATTGCTGAGCTATTAACAAGATAACGGTAAAGTATAGACATCCTATCCCCAAATTAGATGATATGCTTGATGAATTGCATGGCTCTCAATTGTTTTCTAAAATTGATTTAAAGAATGGCTATTATCAGATTCGCCTGAAAGAGGGAGATGAATGGAAAACTGCATTTAAAACTAAATATGGATTGTATGAGTGGTTAGTAATGCCTTTCGGTTTAACTAATGCACCTAGTACATTCATGAGGTTAATGAACCATGTCTTGCATGCTTTCATGGGAAAATTTGTGGTAGTTTACTTTGATGATATTTTAGTTTATAGCAAAAATTTGGATGAACATGTGAAACACTTGCATGCTGTGTTTAGTGTGTTGAGGGAGAACCAATTGTATGCTAATCTTAAGAAGTGCACGTTTTGCATGGAATCTGTTGTGTTTCTTGGATTTGTTGTTAGTTCGCAGGGTATTAGTGTTGATGAAGAAAAGGTAAGGGTAATAAAGGACTGGCCTACACCTAAGAATGCGAACGAGGTGAGAAGTTTCCATGGTTTAGCAAGTTTTTATCGAAGGTTTGTTAAAGATTTTAGTTCTATTGCTGCACCTTTGAATGAACTTGTTAAAAAGAATGTTGTTTTTAAGTGGGATGATGTGCATGACCGGGCTTTCAAAACTTTGAAAGATAAGCTAACTAATGCACCTTTGTTGTGTTTGCCTAACTTTGATAAAGCTTTTGAGATAGAATGTGATGCATCCGGGATTGGAATAGGAGCTGTTTTGATGCAGGATTCCAAACCAATTGCTTATTTTAGTGAAAAGCTAAGTGGGGCAGCGTTGAATTATCCTACTTACGACAAGGAGCTTTATGCATTAGTGAGAACTCTTCAAACATGGTAGCATTACTTGTGGCCGAGGGAATTCATCATTCATTCCGATCATGAGAGCTTGAAGTTCTTGAAGACCCAAGGTAAGCTTAATAAAAGACATGCTAAGTGGTTGGAGTTCATAGAAACGTTTCCTTATGTAATCAAATACAAGCATGGGAAGGAAAACGTTGTGGCTGATGCATTGTCTAGGAGGTACGTATTACTTACTTCATTGCAAACTAAATTACTTGGTTTTGAATTGCTTAAGGATTTGTATGCCAATTATTCTGATTTCAGCCAAGTATGGAATGCATGTGATAAGTGTGCGTTTGGTGACTTTTATAGGCATGAAGGATTTCTATTCAAGAAAGATAAATTATGTGTGCCTATTTGTTTTGTTCATGAGTTGGTTGTTAGGGAAAGTCATGGGGGAGGTTTGATGGGTCACTTTGGTGTTCTAAAGACTTTAGATATATTATGTGAGCATTTTTGTTGGCCTAATGTGAAGCATGATGTGCAATCTGTTTGTGATAAGTGCATTACATGTAGGCAAGCAAAATCTAAAGTTACCAAGGACTCAAAGTGGTTTGTATACCCCTTTACCTGTACCTAATCAACCTTGGATTGATATATCTATGGATTTTGTTTTAGGATTACCAAGGACTCAAAGTGGTAAAGATAGCATAATTGTTGTTGTTGATAGGTTTAGTAAAATGACTCATTTTATTGCATGTTCTAAAACAAACGACGCAACACATATTGCTGATTTGTTCTTTAACGAAGTGGTTCGTTTGCATGGGTTGCCTAAGACAATTATTAGTGATAGAGATGTTAGGTTCCTAAGTCATTTTTGGCGCACTTTATGGAATAAATTAGGAACCAAACTGTTATTTTCTACTATTGCACATCCTCAAATAGATGGCCAAACTGAAGTAGTTAATAGTACACTCACTACTTTGTTGCGTGCTATCATTCAAAAGAACTTAAGGCAGTGGGAGAAGTGTTTGCCACATATTGAGTTTGCATATAATAGGACTGTTCATTCTAATTTTTCATTTTCTCCTTTTGAAATTGTTTATGTCTTTAATCCTTTAACACCTTTGGATATTTTACCTTTGCCTACTAATGAGCATGCTAATCTTGATGGTAAGAAAAAGGCAGATTTTGTGAAGGATTTACATGCCAGTGTTTGGGCCAACATTGAAAGGAAGAATGAGCAATATGCTAAGCAAGCCAATAAGGGGCGTTTGAAGGTCGTCTTCCAACCTGGAGATTGGGTTTGGGTGCACATGCATAAGGAGACGTTTCCCACACAAAGGAAATCAAAATTGTAACCTCGAGGAGATGGACCTTTTCAAGTCTTCGAGCGGATCAATGATAATGCCTACAAGCTAGATTTTCCAAGCGACTATGGTAATGTTAGTGCAACTTTTAATGTTGCTAATTTGTCTTTGTTTGATGTAGGAGACTTGAGGACGAATCTTTTAGAAGAGGAGGGGAATAATGGAGATCGAGGTGCTGACCAAGTTGATGTTCCCAAATATTCTCAAGATCCTTTGCAAGGAATTGGCAGTCCAATGACTAGGGCAAAGACAAAGAGGATGAAAGAGGCTTTGCAAGGCTTGATCATGGAAGTGCAGTACAAAGAGGCTGTACTGGAAGACTGTAAGACTAAAGTCGAAGATTTCAAAGCTTCACCAAGGATGGTCTATTATCTTTTTATGCAAGGGGTAGATTCGAAAGATCAAGTTAGAAGCAAGGATTAATTTAGGAATTAATTTTCATTTATTTAATCTTGGGTTTTTTTTTTTATGTTTTAATTATCATTAGATTATTTAGTCTTTTATTTATTTAAGGTTTAATTAGGCCCAATTCGCTTGTACTTAGGCCCAACCCATTTTTCAATTAGCTAGGGTTTTCTTTTGGGTTTGTTGCTTATAAAAAGGAGCAGCCATGTTATTTTTTGGGGGACAAATTATTATCAATTGAAGTTTATTTCTAAAAGCTATTTGCTTTGCCTTTTTGTGTTCTTGATTGAATGCTTGAATTCGACTTATTGATAAAAGCTTGAAAATACATATTTTGTTAGTGATTCAATTGGATTATTTGTGGAAAAATGTGTTTAATTTGTGAAATTTAACTTAATTATTAATTATTTCATAAATGTCTTTTATGGGATCACAGGTATGTGTCAAGTGTTTTCAGGCTCTTAAAGATGATATTCAGATGAAGGTTATATCGATGATGGAATGTGGGATGACAAGAATCAAATGGTTCGTGATTTGGAGCTGAAACGAAGAAGTTAGGGCGATTTGAAGTTAAAGTGAAACTCCTAGAAAACGCTCCAGTTTTGAACATGCGACAGTAATTCGACAATAACTTGAGCTGTAGATTTTGGATTGAGATTATTCTTGAACCATTGGAAAGCTGATTCAAAGGGCTACAATTCATATTTTTACCACTTGCAAGATTCGAACGTTATCATGCTCAAAAACCACTGTCTTGTCAAGATTTCAAGTTCTGGGGCAGAATCAACTATGCCTAGGCACAATGCCGTAGCACAACTGCGAATCTGGACTTTTTTAGATTAAATTTATGACGTGTATTTCCTGTTTTAAGAGTTCTAAAGTGATTAGGATAGTGGGAATCATAACCCTAAAACCCTAGGAGTATAAATAGATGTCTTTAGCTGATTTTTAGGGGAAGAAATGAGAGAAGTTCAGCTGCTCTTTGGAGATTGTAAAGTCCTACAATTTTGAGTCACCAATTAGAGAAGTTTTTCTACTCTTTCTTATACTCATGTTTATGAATACAATGGCTTTTATTATAAAAAGTATGAACTAATTTTATTTTCTAGGGGTAAGATGTAGCCCAATCTTATGAATATGCATTGAATTATTTGTTGCTAATTTGTTTTAAGTTTTATTATTGCGCTTAAAGCTTTCAATTCTTAAGGGCCCTAGAGTTGAATGATTTTATGGGTTAGGCTGAGATTGAGAGATGAAACCCAATTAGTCTAAGGTAATAAAACCATAGATTGAGTGAACGCTAGAGATAGGTTACCGTGATCTGTGAGGCTCTGGTAAATTCCATAGAACTTAATGATCTCTAATTACTTAAATCTGATTAGAGATAATTTGGGTTAGTAATTGGGAGTTAATTTGTTAACTGTTCGAGAGAAAGTTAGCGAAATATTAGGGAGTTTGGTGTTTAGAATAAACTTTATTGGGTCAACAATAATTGTCAATGTATAGGATTAAATTGGTGTGAAATCTATGCCCTAGGTTTAGTCGTACTGATTTCTTACCAAAGTATTAATAAAAGTTTGTTGTTTTGTTTCTAAATTGTTTTATTTTTCATTGAATCATTCTAAAAATCTAATTAATCAAATAGCAATAAGATAGGTTAGTGTGGTACTTGGTATTAGTAATTCCGTTGGGTTCGATATCCGTATTTATACACTTTATTACTTGCACGATTTCGTACACTTGCGAAAATCAACAACACTTATAAAAGGGAGTGATCAACCTTTGTGGCGTCTCAAGATTAGGGTTTTAAGGACTTAGTTTCCTTAGGGTTTTAAATCGATCATCCTCAACACGTTCCTCGCAAAACAATTTGTTCCTATTCTATCAGACTCGCTCCTATGTCATCTCTTGGAGGCTTAACGTATTATGTGACGTTCATTGATGACGCAAGCAGAAAGGTATGGGTTTATTTTTCGAAAATTTAATCTGATGTTTTTGATACTTTTAAAAAGCGGAGAGCCATGGTTGAAAATGAGACAAACCTAAGGGTGAAGTGCTTGCGATCCGATAATGGGGGAGAGTACATTGATCAAGGGTTCAAAGAATATTGTGCTAATAATGGGATTGATGCGTTATAACTACAACATGCATAAATAGCAAGTGCACTAGTCGCACAAAGTAATAAAGTGATGAGTGAGTATCGTTCCCACAAGGATTGATTTGTTAAGCACTAACTTTCCTAAGTTTTTCTCAAGTTGGAGCAACCGGAATTGTTTTGATTAATGGGAGAATTAAAATTAAACCAAAAACAAAACCTCTAAGTATTAAAAACTGAATATTGAAAGAAAGAAATTAAACGCAAGGTTAATATCAATTTAACAAATGGTTAGGGTTTTGACTTTATTCGGACTCTATGGATGGATTCAATGGATTATGCTAATTCCACACTCACATTCACGGATTATAAATCGAATTCTCTAAATTGTCAAACATACCTTCTCAGGCTATGAATTCCTACTTTTCTCTATTACACTTCCGCACCCAACAAATTGAAGAATAATAGAATCAAGTTCATTAAGTTAATAGAACCCTAGGTTGATTTCATTGGTTCTTAAATCTATCTCTAGCATTTAATACTACAATGGTGATTACCCAAGAAGCTCAACATGATTCATTTCTCAATCTCATCATGTTCATCAAATAAATTCCATAAAAACAGAATAACCACACAATCTATGCAATAGAGGATGGAAATAACAGTAATCATTTATTAATCCATAACAAAATCCGAAGTTCATCAAAATCCTAACCCAAAAAGGGTTAGTTCATAACTAATTTAACATAAACGGCAAAGAAAACAGTAAATAAAACAGTAAGCATATTGAAATAAAGAGAAAGAAAAGATATCTCCCCTAGTTGAAGAATCTTCAAGGGTAAAATCTCCAATCTTCTCTATTCCTCAACAAAAATCCAAGTAATGTTCAAAGAAAACTCTAAAACAAGGCAAACACGTCTCCCCCCTTACAAAAAATGGCAATGTGTTCCTTTTATTCGTCGCCCTAAAAACCTAAAACCTTCCTAAGATGAAACTGTGCGTTTTGAAGAAATCTGAAATTCGCAGAGCAACGAGGTAAGTTGGAATCCCGTTGTTAACTTCCTTCACCACAGCGAACCTTCATGAAAAATTCTGAATTTACAGAATTGCCCTCAGCTTGTTTCTTTGCTTGAATCTTCAATCTCCAATGCTTTCCCATGGGAACAAGCTTCATAGTGCTTCCATCTGCTTCAGAACTCTTCCAAATTCCAAGATCTGCTCACTTCTGGGTCCAGAAACTCCAATTCACTCATTATTTACTCAAAATGTCCATTTTGGCCTGAAACACAAAATGTAGAGAATTAAGAATCAATTCAGGCAAAAATGAACTAAGAAGTATCTAAAATCCGGCCAAAAAGCCTAATAAAAATAGTATAATTCTCGGATTATCAAATACCCCCAAACTAAAGACATGCTCGTCCTCGAGCATCAGGTACAAAACAAAATGAAAGAAAAACAATAAACGCCCAAACAACGCAAAACAGCAAAACTAGAAAGAAAAACATAAGACTCCAAAAAGTTATAAGTTGCATCGACTATCTTTCTCTATTGGTCCCCCAAGTAGGTGATCCCCACTTCAGTCCACATTTCGACTTCCCGGATTATTTTATTCAGAAATGCAAAGTGTATCAAATGATGGCAGACTCCATAAACCTAAGTATCGAACTACTCTTCACTAATGAGGATTAGACATCACTAAAGATCAAAAGGTCTTGAAAGGTTTGTAACGTTAGGCTTGGTTAGTGGGCTTCAATGAAATGGATTGGATAAACAAAGCAAGAGAACTTAGTTTTCTTTAAGCAAACATAAAAACTCAAATCAATCTCCACTTTCTTCCTCAACCATCACTACAAAGTCAACCAATTTATAACCCTCAATCATGCATAAATCTTCTTTTGCTTCTGCATTGCAATTTTCAAATTCTGTTGTTGTTTTTTTTTTCTTTAACAATATTTATTGAGGTTAATTACCCCTTTTATTCTTCTTGCTTTTCTCATGACCCTCAAACTAGTCTTTTAGTTCGTTCTCACAACTCTCCAAACTCTTTGTGTTTGCAAAAATTTTAGGATTCTCTTAAAGGTTGTGGAAGTGTTTAGGGTGAAAGTTTCAGACGTTATTGGTTGCACAAGAAAACAAAAAGGGACTACAATGATTTCATAAGGTTCAAATGGGTAACTAGGGAAAGAATTCACGGTCGGCTGGAAAGGCTCAAACATTCCGAAAAAATGCCTAAATCAATTCCTCAACAATGTCTATTCCCAGAATTTCGCCTCAAGCAATTCTAAACTAGGTTCTAGAGTCCACCAGCATTATCAAGACTTCACCTAACCACATAAAATGAATCTAAGCATGCCGAAAATAATGAACATGGTGGTTGAACCACTCAACAAACCTCAAGCAAAATTCAGTCAATTAACATAAACTTAAAGCAATGCTTAACATTTTTCAGAAATAAAAATCCAACAATCCTATTCTCATCATAGACTTATGTAATTCATCATAGGCATACAAAACAAAACATGAAAGCAACAAACAAAAATTAAAATTTTTCAAATTTTTCCCTACCCCTAAACCAAAGATGACATTGTCCCCAATGTCACATTATGCACAATTTAGGAATAGAAAAACAGAATTTATAAAGGGACGAGATAGTTCCCTGATTAATCCGTGAAGTCGTAGTTTCTCTCAACAGCTTACACACCCTTTCCTTGGCTTTCTCATCACCAAAATCTGTAAAATAATTAACATTCTGTCGTGTCCACTGTTAGAAAATGTCACTAACTAATGTGAAAATATTACAATCCTAATCTCGTCCTTTCAACTAAAAAATTCAACAAAAATTTAAACTAAACGAAAAACAATCCAAAAACAAATCACAAACAAATCACAAATCAGTTCAAAGTTCCACAATACCCAACAGTAAAGCAAAATAAAAACAAACAAAAACAAAATACAAAATAGTTGCTACGGCTCATTCGTCGGCCTCATCCTCTCATTCGGTGTCGTCCTCTTCTGTGTCGAAGGCCATCCACTCATCTGAATCCTAGTTAGCCCATTGGAATTCTGCAGTATCAATATTGAGCTTGTTGAAGCTATTCTTCTGCATGTCATACATCATTTGGGTCTGCTCTGCCAGCCAATCTTGATGTTTTGCCATACGTCTCATCTGACCCATCATCTACTGCATCATTTCCCTTGTGGTGGCTGTGGAACTGGATGATGTGGCAGCTCCTTGTGTGGTTCTTTGTCGTTTTGTTCCTACGCTTGGTTGCTCATCGTCTAGACGTTCAAGATGCTTGTGATAATAGTCTGAGTCGAGGATTGGGGCAACATGGATAAGTGGCTCATCATCATGTACCTCGATTCCTGCTCGAGTGCACAAAGCTATAATGAGATGTCAGAACCGGTAACTCCCTTGCCCTAGTTTGGCTGCATGCTGAATGTTGTTCAGTATAATTTGTCCCACATCCATACTCTTTCCTGTGGCAATAGAATAGAGCAATAATGCCTTCTCATAAGTCACCGTACTATAGTGCGTTTCTGGCATCATCCTCGCACTAATAAAGTATTGCCACAACCGAGCCATCGATGTCAAATTAGTTCCCTTGATGCTCTTCTTGCCCTTTTTCGAAACCTCCCAAGTGGTGTTCGGTTTTGTAATGATTGGAAGAGTGATATCATCTCAAACTGTGTCTTCCTAAAATTCGCATAATCATTCCGGTCAATCTTAGGCAAGTTATAAAATTCATTGATCACCTTTGCAGTAAATGCCACATCAGTACCCCTCACAAACCCAGTACCAGATTCACACTCTAGGAGGTTGGCATAAAATTCTCTCACTAGCGGCTCTAACCGCTTTTGCTCGGGTTGACTCATAAACAGCCCCCAACATCTCCCTTGACTCCATTCTTTAGCATGGACAGTGGTCAATCCACGCTCGGCAATGAATCCTTTATCCCTTATTTGGGCTGCTCTTTCGTACTGTTGCCCAGCGTTGTCACTTATAAACCGATTGTCCACTTTCTTCCCTGTTCCTTTACCTTTGGATGGTACTTTGACCGGCATTTTCCCCATAACAAATCAAACTCACAAATTCAATTCTAAGCACCCTATGAACAACCACACTCAATCCTGCACAAGCACCACAACTTCCAAAAACTGAAAAATGACCCCTAAACTACGATTTTTCCGCAACAAACCAAACACTCCAAAAATCAAAACCCAAACTCCTCAATATCACACAATTCAAGATCCACACTTCCTTAATCACAAGCAAAACAAAAACTTCACAAAAATCCCAAAACTTAACTTCAACAGTCAAAATTTTCAGATCCACACTCAAAACTCGCAATTGTGTAATTCAAAGTTAGGAACGCTTGAAATCTTACTGATCCCAAGAAGCTTTCACCACCAATTTTATAGATTTCAATCCAAATCGCAAGATCCCCAATTTTTGCAAACCAAGGGTTTCCACAATTTTTCGCAATTTTTTTTCGCAATTTTTTTTCGCAAAAATCCCCGCTAAAATGAGTTGATTTTGTGTTTGGGATGGTTTAGGAGTTAGAAGAAGTGATGGAAGTTCACTGGAAAGGCTCAAGATTGAAGGTGGAAAAATTTGCTCTCGAATGTGTTTGAAGGTTTGCGTGAAAAATGAAGAAAAGAAAGTGGGTATTTATAAAAAGCAGACTTCTTCGCCGCGGCGACAAATTACAGTGCATACATCGCCGCAGCGAAGTTAATTCTTCGCATTAACTTCGCCGCGGCGAACTTGACTTGGCAAAATTTCACCCAACCTTCTTCGCTGCAGCAAAAACAAATTCTTTGCCGTGGCGGAAAAATACAGAAGCTGCATCACAAAAAGAGGCTACTTCGCCTCGGCGAAAAACAATCTTCGCCGTGGCGAAGTCTGGGACTTTTCCACTTCCATTTTGTGTTAAATGTTCTTCGCCCCGGTGAAATCTGGAACATTTTTCTTTTTTTGCCTTAGTTCAAAACTTCGCCTGAAAAATCCAAAAGTACCTAAATTAAACTTAATCAAAAATC